CAGCCCATTATAAATGTATCACCATATATACACAAGTAATAAATGATCCTTAATTTTGACCAAAATATATGAAATTTTTAATAGACCCTGTGTAAAAATCAACCCTAGTATTTCACAGATAACAGATAATTTGCCAAAATTTTTTTCATTGAAAACAAACAAAAATTTAATATAAAAATTCATGTAATTCCAGTTTCATATTTTAAAAAAAATTGCAGAAAACAGACTGCTTTTTTCTGCAACTTTTACTATCACACCTGAAATATGGAAATTTAAAAATAATTTAAATTCTAATCAAGTCATACTTTGATCCCCTTGGTATGATAAATTACTACATTGCTTCCTAGCTGGAAGAATATCCTGTGTTATTAAAAAAACAAATAACTGCACCTTTACTTGTAAAGAAATCACTTGATTATTTTATTTTCATATAGATAAAAATTTTTTTAAATTTTGCTAAATTCTGATTATTTAACTTCCTTCCAACTCCCAGAACTGCAGACTTATACCTCTACATCTCAGTAATCTGGCTATCAATGAAGAATACTTTTAATAAGTCCAAAATGGAATATATTAATTTTAAGACAAAGAAATGATGTTTCTACAGATTCTAGTTATAAAGCATATAAACATTTTTGATATTTTAATTTTATACTATTATTTATTGTCCAAAAAATAAAGAACTTTCTTATTTGATAAAAATTTTAACAGTAAGTCAAATTATGTAGGTAGTTTTTGACTATTTCATTAAATTAGTTTACCAATTTGGGTTGTCACCATGTATTCATCGATTGATAGAAATTTCTTCTAACATTGAAGTTATAAATTTATGACAATTAGATAATATTAGATTAATTTTTAATAATTTTCCTAGTACTACTGTATAAAATATAAAATTCAATCAGTACATTAGTCTTATGCATTTGATAAAATTTAACTTAGAATATGTGAAAAGTCAATAGATCACATTATAGTAAAATTTTCTAAGATCTTATAGGTATAATATGATTTTTTACATCTTGTAATTACAAGAAAATAATTTTATTTTGCCATTCATTGCCAGCACTGAGCAATTCTTGTGTGTTAACAGCAACTACACACATCTGATATTGAATAAATAATTTTTATACTTTGTTTTGCAAGCTTAATAGTTCTCATATCAGTATTAACTACAAAGAACTATGAGTATATCTCACAAAAAAATTCAATATACTAAAAAACATTAATTATTTGTAATCTTAGACCAATTTCCATAAATTTGATATATCACAAGTAACATGTTATTAAATTATATACAGATTAAATTTATTTAATATGAAATTAAGTTCTTAAAATTATTGATAATTAACTTTCATTTACTTTACTAAAATTTAATACTTAACATTTATAAATAAAAAAGTTTTCTGTTCTTACCCATTTTAATTGTCTGTGTCACCACTGAAAGCATGAAAAGGAAGAAAAACACAGTTTTGGTAAGAATATTTATTACATTTACTTTTTTGTTTACAGTAAATAAAAGAAAGATAATTTAATTACAGAAATAATTTAAAATATTTGGTATACATAATTTAAAATTTATGCTGAGTATTCTTCGTGTTATCTATTATTATATATTTGAGGTAAAGATATGGCTCCACCACCTGTGAGATTTAATAGTATATCAGTGGGAAACAAATTATATAATTGTTTTATTTGAACTTTACAAGAATTAAGTTAATTAATTGTCTTTATTTTTGATATGCAGATTCTTCCATTGTAAAAAATAACATTAATTAATTGTGAGAAATCTGAATTAATTGATCAATTGAAAGTGCAAAGCACCAGAATATTCTAAGGAAATAGCCAACCATATAATGTAAACATAGGCCTAACCCAGAATGGAGTTGGCTGGCATAGATGAGGCACAAGGAATTTCATGGGTAATACAGATAGGACGTTAAATTATGGAGTCTAATCCTTTGTTGTTAGAAAGGACCACATCCAAAAATACTTTTATTTGATTTTACATAAAAATACAGAACAACAGTTGCACAAACAAATTTGTTATAAGTATTACTTTGAGAGAATCTGCTAATCCAAAGACAATTAAAAATTTGAAACTTTGTCAATAAAACTTTATTTAATCATTAAAATTTAAGAATGATTTAAGCACAACCATAAGTATAACTTTTATGGTTATTTATAAGACAATTCAGCTTCCTAATTAACTGCTATTAATTTATGATTATTATTTGGAAGTACAAATGCAATTTGCCTCTCTATATAAACTAATGTTTATATTACACAATCTTGACAAAAAAAAAATCTCAGACAGCTGTCATTTTAATCAATCTCTAACTTATTCTTCAATAATATCAAACAGAAAACTTTTGTACAAATCTTACATAAAAAATTTTCTTGTTGACAATACATAAAAAAATTACAAGCAGTTGAAAAAAACATGTAAAAAAGTTCAGACAGTCATTTCTACAAAAAATACTTTGGACATTATATTACTATTTTACCTATTATATAATATTTGCTTGTATAACAGCATTCNTTAATGAACAAAAGGTTTTTCAACAAGATTTTATTATAATTACAAATAGTACAGTTCATGATACCAATATCAGATTTAGTTTAAACATTTGTAAATCTGATTGAGACTAGTTGTTAATGCCTAGTACAATGGTTCAAAACATGTATTGTTCCAATGAATATTTCCAAATAAAAATACAATAGACACATTTAAGGCACAAGGCTATGATAAACATCTCTATGACTGTAAATGACAGAAGTGCTTTTAGTTGAATTGTTCACAAATGTTTCACTCTTCTGCTACATAAGCAAGTTACATCAGATATTTTATAGTCAAAATAACATACTAAAACTGTATACATTTTTTAAATTGGAATGCTAGGATAAAATTTTTGATTTTGTGCAAACAAATGTCTTTCTTGCAAAAAAAGCAAATCATGACTAGGTACATGATTTTATGTGAAAATTAAATTATTATAAATGATTATTTAAACAAACTGTAGCAAAATTTTAGTAATTTTTTTAAAATTTTAATGGTCCCTGTCACACTATTTGAATGTAAATTATTGATGTGAAATAATTCATTTCTGGCTGGTGTTTATAAATAACAATTCAAAATAGAATTTTTTCCCAAGATTTAAAATTTTACTACAGCTTGAATGAAAACTGAAATGTTTGTGTGATACTGATCACTTATATTTACGCCTTACATCGATATATGAAAATATAGGTACGCTATACTCATACTCTACCGATACAGTAAGCCAGCGTGCATCAAATTAAACAACATGATTCACATAATCAACAGATTATAAAATTAATATAAAATTTAACTTTGCAACAGTTTAATATGATTTGTCTCATTCTATTGCTAAATATATGTATGTATATAGATATATAATTTATTTTTTTTGGAATGTTTTTTGTTTCGTATACAGGAGAAAAAAAAATTAGCATTATTTTGCCAACATTTAACAACACAACAGCTAGTTAACATTGAAAAATTTGCTCATCATTAATTAATTAGCATCTTTAGCACTAAAGAATTTCAAAACAAAGCTATACAAAAATATATATTTTGTACAAATCAAGAAAACAATTGTTCATTTTTTTTAAAATTAGTCCCATAAACTTACAGTAACTAAACTTTCTAAAAGTAATTAAAAATAAAGGAATGCTAATTTAGTAAAAAGTCATTGCTAATATACAGCTAGAAATTCAAATTTAAAAAAAAGTAGGAATGCTATTAATAAGAAGTTTATGCAAGCTGCACTTAATAAATTAGCAGCAAAGCATTTCTCCCTTATCTCTAAATAATATACTCTTCTAAAAATATACTAATATAACAAACAATAGACATTTTAACTGATGTAAATTCTCAAAAATGGAAGATACTTCTCCTCTTCTTTTGAAATGCTGTAACAATAATAAAAAAATCTGTAAATATTTTCTTTTTAATAACATAGATTTAGTCAACTTTTTAAAAGAAAACAAAAATTATATCTAAAAGATATATTATTAGAAATCAGATTTATTGCATTCTTATTAGTATTAATCCAATAACCAAATATAATTTTTTTCAATTTTTAATAGATTCTCATAAATTATATTTATGAACTTTTATAAGTTATAATTTGAAATTGCTAAGTATTTCTTTTATAACCACTTATCTTTGAAGTATCANGCAATAATCAAATTCCAGGAAATACCTTTTGCACAAAGGATTTGTAAATGTATCAAAGTGAATTCAAATATAAGTTTCATGATATCTAACATTTCAAATCATATTTATGTAGCTAAAAACTTTAGTCTGTAAATACACAACTTATGTTTTTATGTTTGATAAGGATATTCAGAACAGATCTTGAATATTAACAAATAATTCATGTCTCTAGAAGAAAAAGCATACATGAAAACAGGATGGCCATGCAGCCAAGATGATAAAGTTATCAGCCTATAAAGTCTGACAGACCTTGATATGCCAACTTTTAACTTCAATTTGCATGTGAAAATTCAATATCTCGACATTGCAAATCTTTGTTCGAAACTAAGGAACAAAGATTAGTAACAAAATTAAATCTTACAATTATTAATCTTCTGATAGATGTTCATCATTTATTAGAAGTTCTGGAACAAACTGAGGTCATATCCATGTAATATAAAATAATTATTTATAGCATTTCATGTTACATGGATGAAATATAAAAAAACAAATATAAAGTTTCAATAGGGAGGAGAGCTGAAATGAAAATAGTATTTCATTTCCTATGTCTCATATCTTATATTACCACCCAGATGACCTAGAATTCAGGTACAAATGTGATTAATTATGCAAAAGGTTAATATGCAAATCTAACTTGATTTGTATATTAACCTTTCAGCAGTGAGTTAGTCAGGTACGGTACTATCCATATGTAGTGGTGAATAAATGTGGGAAATTTTTTAAGTATTTTCCCACGTGTTTTCTCTCATTACCCGTTTCGAAAAAAGATTTTGTAAACAGTTATGTCTAGTAAAGAAAAGTCTTTTTTAATTGTTACATAATTCCTTTTTTTATGTGAATTTTTTCCGCGGTAATTTTTGGCGATATCCACAAAAGAATTTTGCAGATATATCTGTCATTCACCACTGCCACACGATCACCCTTGACGGATATATCCATTGGTCAGTGCTGAGTGGTTAAAATTCTATTTCAATATACAAATTTTTGCATATTAAAATAGAAAATAAAATAGAGGATTTTCACATTATCATCTTCTTTAAAAGAATCCATAATCTTATTTAAAATACACACTAATTTAATTTATAAATATATACTGTATTTTCGGAGAATTACTGGCATACTGATCTATTTGGGAAAGACCATGAAAACCAGATATTTCCATTTTTCATATGGTAAAAGCTGGCATGTCTGTTTATCGTGGGGAATGCCTGCATGCTGGTTTAAGTGAGGCTACACATCCCTCTGTAGAGGGTGCATTAAAAAAACAAACGAGTTTTAATCTAAAACTATCAAACTGTTAGCACTACATCAAAAACTACAATTATAGATTTAATTTCTTCATTTGTCTTCTTTCTAACAATGTAAAATACATGTGGAATTCCGAAAGTGCTGTTTTTAATGTGTATTTTATTGTTATTTGATTCAAAAAAAAAATGCAAAAATAAACATATGAAATTTAAGAAATTCACTGTAAATCATCTCAACTTACACCAACTAACATTGGCTTTGTGTGAAATTTGAGAGGAAGGTGTTATTTTTAAGGTCAGGGTATATGGTCAGTGTAGCCCACACTGACTAACTATTAATGACAATAACTCACTGTTTTAATTTTTGTCTTGTAAATGAAAACTCTTTCTGATTTTAAGTCAGTCAAATTACAATGTTATTATTTTATTGAACTGGGAAGAATGCATTCTTTAATGTTTAATTAAACTATTAGTTTTATTATATCTGATTATATTTTGGTTGCAGTTTAACTGGCATGACAGAAACCCCAATGCTGGTCTTCCATTTTTATGAGACATGCCAGTCATTCTGCAAAAATATGGTGTATATATATTAAAATTATAAAATCAAGCTTTACTTGTTCTTGATTGTAAATTTTTTCCCCTTTCAAACAAAAAGAAACAAAAGTATATGCTGGATTTTGTGTAATGGATTCAAGAAAAATCAATATCCAGAGTATTTTTACTTTTTTGGCTGTTATAAATATGAAAGAAAAGTAAGGTAATCAAATTTTGACCCCTTACATTTTTTTGCATTTTGACACACTGAGGGAAAAAAACCCCTTACAAAATGAGTGGGGACATTTAGTCTGCATTTTATCTGAAGACTGGAAAACCTAAGATTTTGAAACTTGGCAGGGTTTTTTTTCTATATGTTATTAAATTTTGATGGTTAAAAGTCAAGAGGATGAGGAGATAAAAGGGATTGTTTGTTGTATCTGGAGCATGGTCAAACTTCAATCAAAACATTACTTGTTATTGGCATCCACAATTTTTTTTAAAACTCATCTTACCCACAAAAAAAAGCATTTGCCTTTTTATAACAATTAATAACACAAAAATTATTTTTTAACAGTTCCATAATAGGTGGTGCCATACACAATTTTAACTTTCAGCTAGTGTTAGTACTAAGTTTAAATTTTTCTTTTAAATGGAAATTAATATAATTGAAAATTATCAGACTTTCTGCTCCCCTTAATCTCATTTCTTGATTGTCAGGAAAGTCTATCAAGAGCCTTGCCAGCTTTTTAATTATTTAATAGTTCAGTTAAATTTAAATGGTTATAGTTATGTATTTCTGAGACTGTGTCTTCCTTTATTTGTTTCTTCACTACTTGGTGCATAAATAGACAAGGCATTTTACATCATCTTTATTGATCTTCTATTGGCCAATTCACGTTTCGGGCAAGGCCCTTCATCCATTNATTACCCTTGACGGATATATCCATTGGTCACTGCTGAGTGGTTAAAATTCTATTTCAATATACAAATTTTTGCATATTAAAATAGAAAATAAAATAGGATTTTCACATTATCATCTTCTTTAAAAGAATCCATAATCTTATTTAAAATACACACTAATTTAATTTATAAATATATACTGTATTTTCGGAGAATTACTGGCATACTGATCTATTTGGGAAAAACCACGAAAACCAGATATTTCCATATGGTAAAAGCTGGCATGTCTGTTTATCGTGGGGAATGCCTGCATGCTGGTTTAAGTGAGGCTACACATCCCTCTGTAGAGGGTGCATTAAAAAAACAAACAAGTTTTAATCTAAAACTATCAAACTGTTAGCACTACATCAAAAACTACAATTATAGATTTAATTTCTTCATTTGTCTTCTTTCTAACAATGTAAAATACATGTGGAATTCCGAAAGTGCTGTTTTTAATGTGTATTTTATTGTTATTTGATTCAAAAAAAAAATGCAAAAATAAACATATGAAATTTAAGAAATTCACTGTAAATCATCTCAACTTACACCAACTAACATTGGCTTTGTGTGAAATTTGAGAGGAAGGTGTTATTTTTAAGGTCAGGGTATATGGTCAGTGTAGCCCACACTGACTAACTATTAATGACAATAACTCACTGTTTTAATTTTTGTCTTGTAAATGAAAACTCTTTCTGATTTTAAGTCAGTCAAATTACAATGTTATTATTTTATTGAACTGGGAAGAATGCATTCTTTAATGTTTAATTAAACTATTAGTTTTATTATATCTGATTATATTTTGGTTGCAGTTTAACTGGCATGCCAGAAACCTCAATGCTGGTCTCCCATTTTTATGAGGCATGCCAGTCATTCCGCAAAAATATGGTGTATATATATTAAAATTATAAAATGAAGCTTTACTTCTTCTTGATTGTAAATTTTTTCCCCCTTCAAACAAAAAGAAACAAAAGTATATGCTGGATTTTGTGTAATGGATTCAAGAAAAATCAATATCCAGAGTATTTTTACTTTATTGGCTGTTATAAATATGAAAGAAAAGTAAGGTAATCAAATTTTGACCCCTTACATTTTTTTGCATTTTGACACACTGAGGGGAAAAAAACCCCTTACAAAATGATTGGGGACATTTAGTCTGCATTTTATCTGAAGACTGGAAAACCTAAGATTTTGAAACTTGGCAGGGTTTTTTTCTATATGTTATTAAATTTTGATGGTTAAAAGTCAAGAGGATGAGGAGATAAAAGGGATTGTTTGTTGTATCTGGAGCTTGGTCAAACTTCAATCAAAACATTACTTGTTATTGGCATCCACAATTTTTTTTAAAACTCATATTACCCACAAAAATAAGCATTTGCCTTTTTATAACAATTAATAACACAAAAATTATTTTTTAACAGTTCCATAATAGGTGGTGCCATACAGCAATTTTAACTTAGTGTTAGTACTAAGTTTAAATTTTTTTTTAATGGAAATTACTATAATTGAAAATTATCAGACTTTCTGCTCCCCTTAATCTCCTTTCTTGATTGTCAGGAAAGTTTATCAAGAGCCTTGCCAGCTTTTTAATTATTTAATAGTTCAGTTAAATTTAAATGGTTATAATTATGTATTTCCAAGACCGCATCTTCCTTTATTTGTTTCTTCACTACTAAATGCATAAATAGACACAAGGCATTTTACATCATCTTTATTGATCTTCTATTGGCCAATTCACGTTTCGGGCAAGACCCTTCATCCATTGGCATTACATCCGGAATCTTCTTTAAATTAATTAAATTCCAGATGTAATGCTGATGGATGAGGGGCCTTCCCGAAACACGTATTGGCCAATAGAAGATCAATAAAGATGATGCAAAATGCCTTGTGTCTATTTATGCACCTAGTAGTAAAGAAACAAATAAATTTAAATGATTAAAATCATCAATTTTTCAGTATCATGTTACATACACTTAAAAATTTATATGCAGACTCAAGACTAATATTCATAAGAGTAACTAGGCTAAAGTCAAGGAGCCCTGTAGGTACTAAGGACAATTATCCATAAATTATAAATATTTTAAATGAATAATAACTTTATACAACTTCAAAATATTACAGTATTGAACAATTATACCTCCAAAGTGTGTGTTTCAGAAGTCTTCTACTTATGAAATAAAAATATAAATAAATTGTGAATGGAATTCTTCAGGAAAATTTCCAAAATAAACTTAGAACTATGTATTGCAGTCTAGTACCAATCATACCAGCATCAGGAGTCAGCTGTAGTGGTTGAAAGATCAAAGTGCCAGAGGGGCTAGAAATACTGAAATCCTAGAGATCTAGCCATGGGTTAATAGAGCCTCATGTAGACTAAGTAAATAGTAGTTATTTACTTCATAATGTAAATATTATTTTTAAATTTTCTTTTAATAGAAAAGAAAATAGTTAAGAAAAAAAATAATCAAGTAGCAATAATTAGCCAAGAAGGAAGAAGATAGATCATAAATTTAATGATACATGAACCTTTTATGAAGAATCTATTAATATTAAAAGTTGAGCAAACTGGAAGAAACATCTCAACATGCATCACTACTCAATAAAATTTTGTTGTGTTTTACCTAAATGCTTTTATCATTTAATATATTTTAAATAACAGTATACTCAGCATTTAATCATCAATTATGGTTGTGCTTAAAAGCCAAAATTGCTTTGTTTAATTTTACACACCTTTCTTTATTACGTCCTAACAGCCACTCAGCAACACCTAAATAATAAACTGTCTGAGCAATTCCAAATAAAGGAGCAATAACTATCATTCGACAGCCAGCACCTTTGAAAAAAGCAGTTGTGCCTTCTAGTTGCCAAATTTTCCTATTTAAATTAAAGTAAAAAAAAACAATCAAATTATTAAGTTCCATAAACCTTAATTAAAATGCAATTTTACTTTTAATATTAAACAAACCTGAATGCATCAGGGATACCATTGTATGTTATCTCTCCTCTTCCTTTTTTTAGTACTTGTAATCTAGTTTTCACTACTGAATAAGATAAAAATCTCAAATATTAATTTGAAAATATTCAACATTGCATTAAAGATTTTAAATAACTAGATATTGGATTTACCATCAAAAGGATTTACAGCAAAAGCTGCTGTTGAACCAGCTGCACATCCCGCAAGAAATGATACCCAAAAGACAGATTCACCTGTTCCGTCTTGTCTACGTGGACCCAAAGAATTCAGATGTGCAAAAAGAGGAAAATAAACAACAGAGAAATTGACATCTCTAAGCATTGTTGCTGCAGTGCCTCTGTACAGGCCTAAAATTCCACGGGTTTTTACTAGATTTAACGCTATTGCTGTTGCAGATGTTGCCAACACTGTTTCACCTTCTGCTGCTCCTTTGGCCGCTACAAATAGTTTAAAATATAATAATAAAATATATTTAATTATATAGTTGTTCAAAAAACAAATTTAAATGTTTTATATTAACTAACAAGAAAAAAAAAACAGTTTGTTGGCTATTAGTATTTTTATCACTCATTAATTTTGTAATTATTCATAAATATATAAATAATTATCTTAAAATAAACATTCATATTAAACACAGACTTTAATGATGCAGGAGATACTGCTCAATTTGGTTGGTCCCTATTCTGAAGATATAAAATCTGAAGGTTATAAAGAGTGTTCAACAGCTGATCATAATCTTCTATGATGCTTGTCACATTTAGTGCACAGGGTTTAAGCTGTTACTAGTTTTTTTTTGCTAAAATGCTACAAGAATTTAGATTTAGCAACAATTTTCTTGGCACATTTTGCTAAAAAACTGATGTTTTAACCACTTGTTTTAACTAATGATGGGACGATACTAAAAATTTCTCCCCATTCCAATTCTTTTGAATACTTTCTAAAGTTTATTTTGGTTTAGAAAAATTAATGATTTACATTATGAGCACAATACATTAATTAATTAATAAACATCAAGCTTCATAATGGAAAATGATCAGAAAATCCAGAATCGATCTTTTGAAAGAAACCCAAAAATTCTTCATTTATATGTAGATATGCATGCTTTTATTGTCTAGCAGAAAATAAAGTTGTAATCTTACTGCAGATAAAGTTAATATTGCAACATTACCCCTAAATAAATTATGGCTAATTCCCTTTTACTAAAAGAAAACTATCGCATCATGTGATCTGAAGTCTGAAATCTGTTTTGTTGACCGGGGGAGAGGGAAGGTAATGAGATGATGCACTTCTTTTTAATGCGTCTCACAATCGACATGACTCCTAAATGCTGTAATTCCATCGTATTTAACACTAAATGAGGTTCAGCAAATGATGCAACAAGCCAAACAAATATCATTATCATCACAAGTTAACCAAGTTTTGAATTAATTCACTCAAGCCAGGTTTTTCTAAATGTACAATTGCATGTACTTATTTGAGGAAAAGAAGAATCAAACGAGTGCCTAATTTTTAAAACTCAAAATGGCAGTAAATTTAGAGCAAACAATTACTTTTACTTAGAATCCTGCAAAACGCATTATAGCAACATTTGTGAATTATAACAAACTGTAAAAACAACAAAAAACAAATAAACTTTAATAGTTAATTATAATGGGAAAGTCATTTTATCATTAAAAAACACTTCTGTATAAGCTGAAACTAATTTAGCTTGAACAACACCTTAAATACTTTTTCAGCAACACTTTTAATTTCTATAAAAGAACATTTTTTGACTCTTTTCACATGTCTGTGTCAGGTTTAAGAAAAAGATTTGAACAATCTCCTTAAACAGTGTGAATCTTCTTGTTAAACCTGATGCAGACCTGTGAAAAGGGTCGAAAATATTTGTTTAAACAAATGAAAGTGTTGCTGAAAAAGTACTTAAGGAGTTGTTAAAGCATTTTATCATTATAAGTAAACATACTAAATATTAAAAATAATTTTATCTAATATTTTTTCAATTAAAATATAATTTTGTTTATAGTTTAAACTGTTTTGCTGAAACTTAAATATGTTTGTCGATTGCCAATTTGATTTAAAATTGCTGGCCAAAC